CTCGAGCCCACAACCTGGGCATGTGCGAATCGAACCCCGATCACCTGGATCTTAGGTCAACGCTCAACGCTGAGCCACGCCCGCCCGGCTGGGCAATGCGTGTCTGTCTTGTGTTGAAGATCCTAGGTGTAACTTTAATCACTACTGTTGGCAGTAGCTGTGGCAATGCATAGGCATTTATAACACCCTATATTACCCGCATCTTCACTGGATGTGTAGGAAGCAGTGAAGCCTCCATATGGCCTGGATCCATCGGTGAAATAAATGACTTTCATTGTATTTCCTGAAGATCTGATCTCATCACTTATATTCACACTGCTACACAGCTTCCCGAGCTGGGGTGAGTTACTTCTAATGCCATTGAATACCTGTTAGAAAAACAGTTTAACCTTTAGATACACAGTCCATCTTACTGAGCATTTCCTAGGAGGTTATATTCCCAGTCCAGACATACTTCCTTCTAAGGAAACCCTGTGCTAAGATGAATTACTTAACAATATGGGCTCCTAGCCCAGTGCCACAAACCACCATGTTACCCAGAGCACATCTTGTGGCCTCCGGGTCATTTCACTAAATGAAAATATAGCAGTAGTGCCCGCCTGCCATGTGGTGACAAATGAAAAACTGCTGTACTCTTTGCAACAGGAAACCGTGCTCTAAATGTAAAGTAGATATGCCAACATGCATGCACTTTAGTTCACAGAGTCCACCTATGGGCAGTTTTTTCTTAACAGTGCATCAGACCTTTGATATTTAAAAGGAAGGCTTACATTTTACTCTCTGATGATGTAAAGTATGTAACCAAATAGGTTAAAATGCCTTGAAAAGTAATTTAAAAAGCCAATCTCAATATCAATTGTTCTTTCCTAATTACTACTAGATTCAAGCTTCAATTCTCTTACTAATTTGAATTTTAAAAGGCAGATTAGAGTATCGTTGACTCCAAAATATTAAACAGTAACTCTAGCTATGCACATAGTTATAATAATTGGCAAAGTATGATTTCGCTTCTGTACAAAAACAAGTGAATGTTTTAGCATGCCTGGTTTTCACAGTTCAAGGACGATCCAGAAGTAACTAAACAGTAATTGAATGAGTGATTATTTGACATGCCCCCCCCTTTTTTTTTATTTGAATAGCTCATAATTAGAAATAATGTATCAGAGTATGACACTAAGAGCTATGGAGAAAGAGAAAGTACTCCATCACAAAAGGTATAAGCTCTTCTATTTACTATAATTGATTGTTAAATTT